TCTGTTCCACCTGATCAAGCAGCTGGCGGGCTCGGAGCTGGAGCTCGGTCAGTTTGTCCTTGGCAGCAATCTCGGGGTAGTTGTTGGCATGCTCCCCAACCTGGATGTCCAGGTGCACGCGCTAGAAAGACACAGGGGTGGTGCCCCAAAGCCCTAAGGTCAGAAACCCTCCGACTCTCTGTTCCAGGCTGGGGAACCTAGTCCCGTCCCTGGCTGTGGGACAGAAATGCAACACCGTCTCTCTGATTGTGACTGTGTCCCAAAGGACGGTGGCCATTAACTCAGAACTCAGCGGAATCAGGGGAGAGATTCTGAGCTGTGGCCGAGGAGGCAATCCTCTTACCAGTCTGCCGCCAGCAAAGAGAGCCATCCTGGTGGAGTTGGAGTGCAGGCAGATCTGATGGTCACCGGGCGTGTGGGAGGTGAAGGTGAAGCGGCCGTCGGAGCCGTACTGCCGGGACAGCACCACCTGCAACGGGACACACCGTGACAACCCCCACCTGCACGCAGCCCTGTCCTCTGAGCCCTGCACGGCCCAGAGAGCTCCGCGGAAGCGTGGCCTTGTGGAGGCTGCAGACCGCCCGTGCCATAGCCCGAGCACGACCAGCGGGGCCCTACCTTGCCTTCCGGGTCCTTCACCTCCACATGCATGCCCAGGCCGGGGGTCGAAGGCAGGAAGACCTCCTTCTGCTTGTCCCACATCTGGGTGCGGTAGTTCCCTGCGGAGCAGACAGTGCCGTCACGACCCGCCTGCTCCGGCCGGCTCCCACACTCCGCGGGGCGCCGTGGCCGCGTCTGGGGGACACACAGGGTCCCGTCCTCCCTCGCCCCGCCTGACCGATGACCATGGTCTCGTCGGGGATCTCCTCGATGAAGCACCGCTTCTCGGTCTCGCCGATGTGGAAGTAGAGTCCCCGGGCGCCGGCTGCGCACAGCGCAAGCAGCAGAAGCGCCGGCCGTCCCATCGCCCGCCGCCACCCGCCCCGACACCTGGCAACGCGCGCCCTCGGCCCGTCGCGCATGCGCGCGCATGCGCCCCAGTCCAGGCGACGCAGCAGAGCCGAGCGAAGAGCGCGCATGCGCTGTGACTCCCGCCCTGCGTCCTTCTGAATCCGCCGGTCTTCCGGGCCAAGCAGCCTGGCCGAGAGGAGAGTGCGCATGCGGGGGACGTCCGGATCTCCTTCCAGCCATCCGGGGGACGATACTTACTCCGACACCTACCTACGCGCGTCCTCCGCCCTGCGCGCATGCGTAAGCCTGCGCCCCGCGTCCAGGAGAGGCTGCGCGGCCGGGCTCGCAGTGCGCATGTGTCGATTCGTTCGCGACCCGCTTCTCCGCGGGCGGGACTTGGCGGGGGTCTGGCACTGGAGACGGGGTGTGGGGACGAGGGGTCCCAGGCGGGGGAAGGAGCGTGGGGACGAGGAATCCAGCACTGGGGAAGGAGCGTGAGGACGAGGGGTCCCAGGCGGGGGACTGGGAGTGGGGTCCCGCGCGGGGGAAGGAGCGTGGGGGCTGGAGTGTACTAGGCGGGGGAAGGGGCGCGGGGACGAGGCGTTTCCCACGGGGGAAGGAACATGGGGGCGTGGGGTCCAGCGCGGGGGACAGGGCGGAGAGGAGGGGTCCCGTGTTAGAGGAAGGGACGTGGGGTCCCGCGTAGGGGAAGGGGCGTGGGGACGTGAGGTCCCGCGAGGGGGAAGGAGCGTGGGGGCAGGGGAACGGCATGAGAACGAGGGGGCCCGCGCGGGGGACGGGACGTGGGGACAAGGGGTCCCAGGCGGGGGACGCGGCGTGGGGGCGCGGGGTCCAGCACTGGGGAAGGAGCCTCGAAAGCAGGGGTCCCGCGCGGAAAGCGGGGCGGGGGCGGCCCGAGCTGGTGGCGTGGACCCGGGAGTGGTGACCGCCAGGCGTGACTTGTGACCCTGCGGTTGTGCTGGGGTTTCCTGACCCTTGCGTGGGAGGCACTCACTGGGGGCGGGGGGCGCCAGCGTTAGCGACCCTGCTGATCATAAAGGAGATGCGGAGGGCGTGGCACGAGGGCTAATGAGTAAAGGGTTTCTTCCTCAAGTTTACTAGACTCTGCAGGATGAGGCGTGGTGACGCGTCAGCCTCATTCTGTCCCCGAAGGCCCCGCGGTTTTCTGCCAACCTGTCAGACTGGACCGCTCTTCGTGCCCTGGGTGAAGGCTGAGGACCTGGGGGTCCCTGAGAGGTGCACGGGGGGCTCAGCGCGCCTCTGCTGAGAGCTGTCCTTGCAGAGAAACCCTGTAGCAGCGCTCTGGGTGCTCTGGGCCTGGTTGGTGTGTATGCTGCTGTTTATCCTGTAAGTGCTGGTTCTGAGCCAACACAAATATCCTGGGGATCAAAGAAAGTCGTTTGAAAGGCAAGCTTCCTCAGCAGCAGTTCTGTGTGAGGACCCGGTGCCTCTGTTTAAAGCTTTCTTCTTCAGAAGCTGGAAATTGGGGTTTGGCCTGAAACTCCCTGATTTTTAAATATGGGCATTTAACTCACTTATGTCTAATGGAATGACAATAAGCAATCTGGCCACCTTCTGCAGTCTGACCTCAGTTCCAATCTGGAGGACAGGCTTGGGTTAACTGACCACCTGTGTGCTGTTCCAGCCCCCCCCCCCGGAATTGCGTCGAACATGTGGTGAAGAATGAGACTGAAAATCTGGGCTAAGAAAATGGAGGGAGAGTATGAGGAAAAGAATGAGTAGGGTGACCGGGCATGTTGGACTCTCCTAGTTACAGCACCCCCTTCTCTGGGACAGAGGAAGATGAACACCAAGCCAGAACATTGTTATTGGGCATAGAGTCACAGCTGAGCATGGTTGAAAACTTTGTTTTAAATTTTTTATAAAGAGAATTTCCAAACACACATAAAGAGGGAATAGTTACAATGAACTTTGATATACTCATCACCTGCCTTCAACAAAAATCAGTTTTTTGCCTGTCTCATTTCATTTCTTTTGGCGTGTTTTCCCTGAAGTATGTCAGTGTATTTTTTTGGACATACATCATTTCACCTATAAATACTTGAGTGTGTATCTCTAACAGACAAGGACTTTTAAAAATACCATTATCACATCCAAAAAAATTAAACAACTCTTTAATGTCATCTAATACTTAGTATATGTTCAGTCTCCCCCCCCCCCACCATTGCCTCAAAAAAACACTTTAGATTGCTTAATCAGGGTCCAAACAAGGTAAAGTCACTGCATTCAGGGACACAGCTCCTAAATCTCTTTGTTGTTGATGATGTGGTGCCATTTCTTACTGAAGCACCTGGATCACTGGACCAGTAGAATCCTCCATGTTCTGGACTGGGTGGGTTGTATCTTAACATGTCATTTCACATGTGTATTTGTCACTGCTGTATCCTGTAAACCGTTAGATCCACAACCAGGGAGGATTTGCAGTAAAACTAATTGTGACTGCATACATTACAATCATTACCCCTTTTAACGTTCAGATTGTCTCAGAAGATGTCCCAAGTTCTCTGCCCTTTTAACACAACTCAGTCTTTAGTGGCTTCCTTGCTTTCCATTTTGTACACTTGCCCGCCCTACACACAAAATCTGCCGTTTAGGGGCGCCTAGGCGGCTCAGTCGGTTGGGCGTCTGCCTTTGGCTCAGGTCATGATCCCAGGGGCCTGGGATCAGGCCTCCCATCGGACTCCTTGCTCAGTGGGGAGTCTGCTTCTCCCTCTGCCCTTCCCCCTGCTCGTGCTCCCTCTCTCTCTGAGCTCTAATAAAATTTTTTAAAAATTTGCTGTTTATCCAAGGAATCTTGATTCACTTTAGTGACAAATGGTATTTATATTTCTAATGTTGTAATTTTTTTTTCAAGACCCTAAAATTTGTCCTGATGGGTAATCTTAAAGAGATTGCATTACCCACAGTAGAAAACCTACGTTAGGTAATGTAAATCCCCAGGCCCCAAAACTTTTCCCCTCAAAGGTGGTGGGCAATTACTGCCAACATTTACCTAAGCCAGCTGTCCCTTCATTCAACCAGCATCTACGAGCAGCCACTGTGCCAGTGTTCTAAACCCTGGGGACACAATGGTGAACAAAACAAAAATCCTTGTCCTCGTGGATTTATTTTGATTATCACCCTTCAATACATACTCTATAGCATGCCAGAGGCAGACAGGTGTCAAGGAGAAAAATGAAGCAGGGAAGAGGTTAGGGAATGTATTGGGTTGAATGGTGTCCCCGCCAAAGAGGTATCATCAATACTGAAATCCCTGGAACCTGTGAATGTGACCTGCTTTGGAGTCTTTCCAAATGTAATTAAGGATCTGATGTGATAATCCTGGATTATCCTGGGCCCTAAATGCAGTGACCAGTGTCTTCATAAGAGACATGGAGACACCCACACACCCACAGAATGGCTGCTATAAAAACCAAATAGAAAGGAAGGATTGGTGAGGATGTGGAGAAATCAGAACCTTGTGAACTGTGGCTGGCATCATAAATGGTGCAACCACTATGGAAAATAACATGGAGGTACCTCAAGAAATTAAAACTAAAACTACCACGTGACCCAACCACCCTACTGCCGAATGCATCTCTAAAAGTACTGGAGACACGACCTTGAAAAGACACTTGCATTCCCACGCTCACAGGAGCACCATTCACAGTGGCCAAGAGTAGAAGCAGCCCAAATGTCCATCGATGGATGAACAGACGAGATCGTAAGTGGTACATACACACCATGGAATATCATTCAGCCCTGAAAAGGAAGGAAATCCTGCAGTGTGCCACAGCATGCATGAGCCCTGAGGACGGTATGCTAAGCGAAATAAGCCGGTCACAAAGACAAATGCTGCATGATTCCACTTGTAAGCGGGAATCTGAAGTAGTCAAACTAGTAGAGAGAGAGTAGAATGGTGCTGGGGGAGGGGAGGATGGGGAGTTGACTAATGGATACAGAGTTTCAGACTTGTAAGATGAAACAAGTTCTGGAAATCTGTTCCACAAGGTAACTGTCACTGAACTGTACACTTAGTAGAGAGAGGCACAGATAAAAGGACTCAGCCATGTGATCACAGAGGTAGACATTGGAAGGGATGCAGTCACAAGCCAAGGAATGCCTGGAGCCACCAGAAACTGGGAGACAAGCAAGAAAACCTCTCCTAGAGTCTCTGGAGGGAGCACAACTCAGCTGACATCTTGATTTTGGACTTCTGCTCTCTAGAATTGTAAGACAATACATTTCTGTTGCTTTAATCCACCATATGTGTAGTAATTTGTTACGGAGACCAATATAGGGAGTGTCTGATTAGAGGCGCGGTGGGGTACGGTGGACTGGCCAAAGAAGGCTCACCGAGAGGGTGCTGTGTGAGAGAGGTCCTGGGGGGCAGGTCACGTGCCTCCCTGAAGAAAGAGCAAGAGCGCCAAGGCTGGTGTGAGTTGAACATCAAGGAGGCCAGTGTAGCAGGAGGCACAAGCATGGGAGGGAAGTAGGAGGAGATGAGGTCCTAACTGGGGATGGGAGAATTGGGTGGGCCTGTTAGGCCACTTTAAGGACCTTGGCAAACGAGTGAGAACCCCTTAGGGGATTCTGAGTGAGCAATGACTTGATCTAACTCAGATTTTAAAATTCTGATCCTGTCCAGGCAGCAGATGATCACTGTACAATAATAGGGTCATCAATGGATCAAAGGATCAAATCACTGATGTAAGTAATGTTCAATCTACATCAGGTCTTTTGGGGGCACCTGGGTGGCTCAGTTGGTTAAGCGTCTGCCTTCGGCTCAGGTCATGATCCCGGGGTCCTGGGATCAAGCCCCACATCGGGCTCCCTGCTCAGCGGGGGGTCTGCTTCTCCCTCTGACCCTCCCCCGTCTCGTGCTCTATCTCATTCTCTCTCTCAAATAAATAAAATCTTTAAAAAAATAAAAATAAAAATAAAATAAAATAAAACACGAGTCTCTGTGTAATTCCTCCGGACACGGCCCGGTTACTGGTTCATCCCACACGGTACGCCTCTCCCCCCACGACCTTCCGACCCCCTTCAGGACGCCCTGTCAGCACTGTCATCTGCGGCCCCCGAGGCCCCCGGCCTCACACTCCGCCAGAGACTTCACTCCTACGGGACAGAGGAAGGGGTGCCCTGGTCCCCATGGGGCCAACAGACTCCACCTGCCCCACCCCAGCCTCAGCTGGTGACTGGCCCCATGTCCTCCTGCAGGGGCGACAGCGCCTCCCGCCCGTGCCCCCTTCCACACCCCCACGGCTGCCTGACCACTTGATGCAGCAGGAGCACCCGGCCTCCGAGCCGACTCTGCCCGCACCTGCGGCGCAGGGGTCTCCGTACTGCCTGCTTCCCGTGTCCCCAGCAGAGGGGGTCCCTGTCTCTACGGATCCCAGGGGTGCACGCCCACACATCTAAGCAGACGTGTCCCCAGCAGAGGGGGTCCCCGTCTCCACGGACCCCGGGGGCCCACGCCCACACATCCAAGCAGACGTGTCCGTGTGTGCTTGTGTGCACGCAGACCGCCCAGGCTCCGAGGTCCCGTCTGCTCACCCAGGTAGTCAGGGACGTGGCCCAGGTGAGGCTTCACCACGGCAGGGTGCAAGGGCAGGTCGTGCCGCAGCAGCTGGAGGTCCCGGGGGTTGTCTTCAAAGTACGTCTGCGGGGGAGACGGGCACACGGCAGGGTCAGTCTGCCTCCTGTGGCTCTGCGGGGGCCCTTGGGCAGGTGCGCTGTGCCCTCCCCCCTCCCTCAGGTGCCGCGTCTGCGGGGACACTGCCCTTCCTGAGGCAGCCACGCCCCACACACTCTCCTCACGGCCCCACGCGGAGCCCCCCCCCACGGCAACGTGTGCTGAGGACAGACTCCGCAGCGCTGATTCTGCGTCCGCCACGGATGCTGAGCCTCACCCTGAGCCTCTCTGAGTGCAGAAGCTCCTCCTTGATCTCCTTCAGCCTCGCCTCTCGGATGGCCTGTTTGGTCACTGAGCGCATGGCATCCTGGGTATGGACACCAAAGCTCAGGATGGGGGGCGGGGCGCTGCCCTGTCCTCCCTGTGCCTGAGTGCTCAGCGGCGGGGGTCTGACCCAGGGGGACTCCCCCACCCCCAACCACGAGATCCCACTCACCCGGCAGCGGTAGCGGAAGCCCTCGATCTCCTCCATGCGGAACTGATAGGGAAGCAGGACAGGGGCCCCGTTCTCTGTGGAGAGCAGGGCAGTGAGGGTCCCCTGAAGGTTCAGGGCAGGTCTACCGGAGGCCATCTGCTCAGAGGCCCCCGCAGGCCCTCCTGGGGCGAAGCAGCCCAACACTCAGCCCACGCCTTCCCTGCGAGGAGCACGTATAGTGAAAGAGCCGGGTCTCGTGCGCAGCCCGGGACAGCTGCTCCAACACGCTGTGGCTGGGCAGCCCGTCGTCCCCTGGGTGCCCGTCACAGCAGCCTCAGAACCCGCCCACCTACCCACTCTCCTCCCCCACGGCCACTCTGGACACTCGACATCCGTGACAAACCGGTGTCTCAGCGCAGCAGCAGCCCTCGCGCTCCCGCCAAGCAGCGTCCCGGCCCCTCTTCTGCGCAATCCCACAGGGTCCTTCCCGGACCCCCAACACAAGCAGGACTGAGGCCCCTTTGGGGAGCCTCCTGGCTGGTGGGCAGCCCCACCCACGCCTCCTCTGCCAGCCGCTGCCCACAGCCCTGGAACAGCGCCAACTGCCTCAGCATCACCTCTGGAAGGCCCAGCGGGCGCCCGGACCTGGGCCTGGCAACTGGGGAGTCAGGGAAGGACCCCCCCGCCCCCCACTGGGCTCCCTCTCCCAGGGTCCCTGGGAGACACCACCAGCCCCATCCCCATCTCCCAAAACCTCTTCCCCTTCCTTAGCCCTTCTGCCTCTCGAGTCCAGACCTCGGCTTGCTCATCTGTGGGGGACCCTGCCTGCCCCCATGAAGCAGGGATGAGGATGGAGCAGGAAGAAGGCACAGGGCGGGGCTGAGCGGGAGGTGCTATCTCACCGCCACTGGGCCTAAGGCATTGTGGGAGGAGAGCGCGGGGGTTCTTACCTCCGCTGAGCAGCTCCTCGATCATGCCCAGGTGGGACTGCTCAGTGGGCAGCACGAAGGTCAAAACCATGCCCGGGTTGTTGGCTCGCGCCGTCCTGCAGGAACAGACGGCCCAGCCTGAATCTCTGGCCCAGGGCCCGAGGTCCTGGTGCCTGCCCACCACGCCCCAGCTCTCCCACCTGCCAGCTCGATGGATGTAGGCCTCAGGGGTGGGGGGCAGGTCAAAGTTGAGCACAGCAGACACGTGGTGGAAGTCTATGCCCCGGGCCACGCCTGCCTCCGGATCAGAAGCCCTGTGGGTAGACGTCCCAACATCAGACTGACCACCCCTCCTCCAGGCCAGCGATCTCAAGCCGTTTAATCAGCAAAATCACTTAGTAAAGCCTTCCACAAGATCGGAGAAGTCTAACAGGTTGAACACCCTAAAATCAGAACTATCTCAGAAGCTGAGGTAGCAGGGGTGGCCGAACCCTCGCCCTGACCTCAATGCCAGGGGAAGGACGGAACTCACCGCACCAAAGGACAACCTGAGAACCACCCCTAGCCAGACAGCCTGTTGGGCAGGCAGAGACTGGGGCTCCCGATTGCTTCGGAAACCTCCTCCTCATGGGTCACAGCTGCGTGTCCAGCACAAGCTGCACATCTCCCCTTGTAGGACGACCCCCAACAACCCACTACGTTTGGCCCTTCCTGCTGCCTCAGGGTACGTGCACGCGCGCCCTTTGCTCTTCTCCAGACTTTGGCAGCCAAACGAGGCCCCACCAGCAGCCAGGCCCCAACGCTGGACCCCTTGCTCTGGGCATCCGGTTTCACCACCTTCCAAAAGACTGAGAAACAGCCTCCCTGCAGTGCACTGGGGAAGGGAAACACCAGCACTCACCTGTCCCCCTTGGATCCTCGGCCCCGACGCTTGCCCTTGACCGGGGCCCCCAGGACTTCGGCGTCGGTCGCTATGACGCAGTCGTAAAAGCCCTGGTTGAACTGTGAAATGATGTGGCACCTACAGCCCAAGAAAGAGGAAGGCTCAGCCCCCAGAGCCAGTGGGAGGCTCCCCCCCCCGACATCATTACAACCGTCACCCTGACTCTTCCCTCTTCTCTAGCTCTGCTCCTGCATAACCTTCGTGCCTCAGCTCCTCGGCTGAAAACGAAGCAACGGCAGAAATCTCAGAGCCACGACACAGAAAGCCAGTGAGAATCGGTCGAGCCCACAGCCTAGCCTCCACCGCCCACTGAAGACACAGGAGCACCCCCTGCGTCTCCCCTTCCCATGTCTCAGCCGAGGGGTCAGGCCAGGTGCACCTGGAGCACAGCGGGAGCTCTCCATTGAGCACGCAGGTGGGGATGCTGAACTGCTCCAGGAACAGGCGCAGCCGGTAACTCCTCTCCAGAGTGTTGACAAAGAGCAGGGACTTGCCGCGGATCAATGACAGCTTGAGCAGGGCATAGAGCAGCAAGAACTTATCTTCCTGTGTCTGACAGACTACCTGGAACTGCCGCAGCTGGTCTGGCCCCGGCAGCTGGGACTCCTGGAGCTTGAGAGTCACCTGCAGGGAAAGAGCCCTGTGATCAGGAAAGAGAAGGAGACAGAAAAGGCGCTGCATGCTGCTGGCTCAAACCAGGGCACCCCGCGTCCCTTCCCACTGGGTGACGGGACAACTCAAAGTGCCCAGCCGTTACGCTGCGCAGAGGACGTACGGTTACAATGTGCTGGAGGCACAGAACAGAGAAGCACAGGGTAAGTGAGGAGGGAAGCCCCGCAGCAGCAAGCTATCAGGAGAGCCAAGTTCACGAACACAAGAGCTTTGGCCGTGCCACTCAAAGCAGCCTTTCTGACTCTCGGGGTCCCTGCTTCAGCCTTTAGGTGAAGCGTGTTTAAACCATGCCAGCAGACATCTGCAATGATGTAGCGACTGCAGACTGGTGGATGGGGGGGGGTCTTGATGACCACCAGCTTCTAGTGCCTCAGAACCAGGGGGGTGGGTGCCTGGGTGGCTCAGATGGTTGAGCGACTGCCTTCGGCTCAGGTCACGATCCTGGAGTCCCGGGATCGAGTCCCGCATCAGGCTCCCTGCTCGGCGGGGAGTCTGCTTCTCGGCGGGGAGTCTGCTTCTCCCTCTGACCCTCCGCCCTCTCCTGCTCTCTGTCTCTCATTCTCTCTCTCTCAAATAAATAAATAAAATCTTAAAAAAAAAAAAAAGAACCAGGGGGGCTACACGTCAGGGGCCCCGATGCTTCCGTAGCGCCCTTACTGGATTATGGAGTACCAGCTCCTTGAGTGCTTGGACGTCCTCGTTAAAGGTAGCCGACATCAAAAAAGCCTGATAAATCCGGGGCAGGTGACTAGAACAAAACAGAGCCGGTCAGCCTCCAGCTCCAGGCCCTAGTGTCTAGTCACAGCTGCACACTCCCCTTCCTTACCAGAGCAGACTTTTGAGTTCTTCCTCGAAACCAAAAGAGAAAAGAAGGTCAGCCTCATCCAGCACCAGCAGCTCCAGGGAGTCTCGCAGGACCAAACTGTTCTGCTGCAAGTGGTTCAAGATGCGCGATGGGGTCCCCACAACTATGTCGGGCTTCTCCATCAGCACAGCTCTGCAGGTGGGCAACACCTCCGTGTTGGAGAGTATGCAGCAACTCACACCGCACCCCGAGCGGCCCCGTTTACTGCACACAAACCCAGCAAATCCAATCCTGCATCCCTGTGCAGGTTCACCCCTCTACGGCCCCATGGCTCTCACCCACCGCTCAGAGGCTGAGTCTTCGGTAGCGGAGACGTTAGCCACCCGGATGTCTCGAGCGCAGTAGGCAGCCAGCTGCTGGATCATGGACCGGGCCTGCCGAGCCAGCTCCTTGGTGGGCACCAGGACGAGCCCTCTCACAGCCTGCTCTACTGCAGGGCCTGTCTGCAAGAGCACAAATGACAGACTTCAGCCAGCCAGCCCGCGTCCTCAGGGCCACCTAAGGCCCCCGACAATCTGACCGAACGGTGGGGCCTTCCACCAACCCCTCACTGACTGCCACCCTCCCCAGAACAGAACAGAGGGTAGAACAGAGGGCTCTTTCCCCGGGCACTGACCCTCAAAAGACACAACTCCGCGGTTAGCACGTTACTGAAAATCCAACACCTAGAGCGCTGGACGTTCACGTTAATTCTACAAACAAAACCGGGAGACCTGCCCGCTTTTTACAGCAGGAAGAAGAAAAAAGGACGCGCTCGAGAAGACGCCAAGAAGGATGACAGCAGCGCCGCACCGGAGCCAGGCGACCCGAACCCCAGCCCGCAGCACTGAGCACAGCGGCATCCCGGGCCGGCCTTCGGGGTGCGAGGCCGGCGGGAGCCCCGGTCCCCCCACCCCGCCGCCGCGACCCACCGCCTTCCTGTGGAGCAGCAGCTGCAGCACGGGAATGGCATAGGCGGCCGTCTTCCCCGAGCCCGTGCGGGCCCGAGCCAGCAGGTCCTTCCCCTCCAGCGCCAGCGGGATGGCCTTCTCCTGGATCAGCGTGGGTCGTGACCAGCCCAGGTCGGCGACGGCCTAGGAGACACGACGCGCGGCTCAGCGCGCCGCCCCGCCGCCACCCCCAGCCACGTCGGCCCGGCCGCTCAGCACCCCCGGGTACCTGCAGGAGCCGGGGGTCGAGACCCATGTGCTCGAAGCCCAACGCCTCCGGGTCCGCCATGCCGCGACTCTCCGGGGACAGCGCGCACGCACGGCAGGAAGCGCGACGGCGCGTGGGACGCCACCACCAATCAGCTTCGCGGGCACCGCCCCCTCCCGGAAGTGCTGGAGCCTGGGCTTCCGGCGTCCGGGCGGCGCTCCGCGGCTGCGCGGGGCGCAGGGCCCGGGGTCTCCGGGAGGTGCCCTCGCTGGCCGCCGCCGCTGCTCGTACCCAGGGGCGGCTCCCGGCTCTCCCTTCAGTCCGCGCTTCCTTTAGCAGCCTCGCCCTAGGAGCTGCGCCGGCACCTGCCGTGCCCTCCGAAGCTGCGTGCCCGGCGGGGGCGGCCCTGGGGGGAGCCAGCACGGGGTCCAGGGGCACGGGCGGGCCTGTGGGTGCCCATCAGTTACCCGCACAGCTTAGCGAACAATGAGGACCCTCGGTTCCCTGTCGCTGCCACAGCCATTCCCCGTAAACCCAGGGGCATAAAACAGCCCGCATGTATGCTGTGGTTGTGCGGTTGTCTCGCGGGGTCTCGCTGGGCTGAAACCAGAACGTGGGCAAGCTGCACTCCCTTCTGGAGACTCTAGACGGGTGACTCCTTCCTTGCCTTGCCCTTTGCCCGATGGCCCACTTCCTTCCTCCCCCGAGCCAGCGACGGAGGCTGGAGTCCTCACGTCTCACCATGGCGACCTTTTGCCTCCACTTTTAATGAACCTTGAGATGACCCTGTCCTAACCCACATAATCCGAGATGATCTTTCCATTTTAAAGTCAATCGATAGCAACCTTCATTCCCTTTTGCTTGGAAACCAGGCCTCACCACGACCATTCCCCCCCACCCCCCGCGCCGCCCCTCCGGTTTTTGTGGTAACGATGTCATACAGTCTAAGAAAGCAAGAATTTCAGAATAGAAGCAGGGTAGTATTGGGAGGAATATCAAAATTCCCTGAATGTAGCCAAACTTTCTAAAAACAACTTCCCTAGACCATGACGTATCTGTGATTGTCACACAGCAGCACGGAAATCCTCCCTGCAGCCGCCACCCGCTGGCCCATCCTCTGGCCAATGATATTCTACCTGCCCCATCAGTGGGACAAACGCCCCTTCCCATCAAACCTTGACAAGAGGAGAAACCCAGAACTTACCCACCTACTGGCAGAATCAAGATGCACTCAATTCTGTCTATAGCGGGACAGACCAAAGAAGGCTGCCCTGGCTCTCAGCGGTGGTTGCGTGCCCTCCCACAGCCAAGAACAGCCACAGTAGCGAGACAGGTTCCCTTCCAGACCTGTCCCATAGTCCCAGGGAACCTCAAGCCAGAGGCCCACACGGCTAACCAGTTCCAGGACCACCTCATTTTCCCTGGGTTCATTCTAACCTAAGAAAACTGAAAACCATCCTAAATACTCAAACTTTAGAGAATAGTCACTTATGGTTATTTCACCTCATTGGACAGTTATACAACCACCCAGAATTAGAAATATGAGGAACACTTAATTTTAAAAAATACTTTAAAAATATTAAACGTCAGGCGCCTGGGTGGCTCAGTTGGTTGGGCGACTGCCTTCGGCTCAGGTCATGATCCTGGAGTCCCGGGATCGAGTCCCACATCGGGCTCCCTGCTC